TTTTGTTAATATATTTTAATTTTTTCTTGGTGATAATTTTTTTGAATTTATAATATAAATTAATTTTTCATCTGTATTATTTATTTTTTTATTTTAATGTTTTTATAATATTATTATAATTTTTTGTTTTAAATTTTTTAATTTTATCACATATAAACAAAATTTATTATAAAAATTAATTTTTTAATTATTTTTATTTAAATCAGTCTTTTTATTAATTTATCTTATACAAATTTTTAATTTTTAATCTAAAATTTATTATTTTAAACTTATTTTTTAAAATTTTTAATCTAAAATTTGTTATTTTGAACTTATTTTTTAAAATTTGATGTACCAAAAATGAACACCATAACAATTTCCTTTTTTTAAAACAATATACAAAAACTCAAACCTACCATTATCTTAATTCAAGCACAACAGAACCAGTTGAATAGTAAATTATTTTGAACTTCAAGTATGATCAAATTGGTTCAAGAAAATAAATGCTCATGTATCGAAACCAGACTGGAACAAACACCCCACTCACATCTCTAATATTATATGTTACCATTCCTCATCATATTAATTGCCTGAGGAATCACATTTTTAACAATGAAAAACTTTTTATCTTATAAGTGCTAATTTGATTCTCTATGCTAATATGACCCGATGTGGGACTGGGACATAAATCCGCTGATTGGTTAATATTGGCCACTACTTAATAAACTACACTAATCGCATTGTACACACACCCCTAAAAACAAAAAAAAGACAAATAACACCACCTGCTGCAAGTTGAGATTTTAGGAACTAATTAAGCAATCAAAGACAAACATGAAACGACTTTATTAGTGCAAATCAAGATTCAGTTCTTGTGGCTCTAAATTTTTCAATAACTTGGCTCATATTCATGTGCCCAATTGTTTGTGTTTCATTCCCTTCATACGAACATCTCAATTTCTTGCTTTGAAACGGAAACAGTTGCCTTAATTAGAGGTCTATAAATATGAAAATCCTTAGCCATTAGAAGCAAAGGATGCTTTGGGTTCTGGTGGATTCAGTCTCGTGCCAGACTCCACCGAATATTACCTAAAATTTGGAATGCAACAAACAAAAGTCAAGTTTTTGAGTTCTGCGTACCTCAATTGAATTTTTAGGCAATTTTCCTAATACAGACCTTGATGAAGGACTTAAATTATGAGCTGCTTCTCATGCGACGAAATTGGATTGTTCATCACGCTTATTAGTTCTTATCTATGGTTCTAGTGCCATGATAAGCCAATTGCTGTTTTTTTAAAATCTACTATGTAAAATCTTATTATGGTAATAGTTGAGTAACTTATCTTTAATATTCTATTCTATTTCCATGTAACGGTGATCGCGTTTTTTTCGATAAACTCGTACAAATTGTAATTAGGGCGCATTGATGACGATTATTATGATTATTATGGTAATGTAAGAGATATGGTATTTGCAAAGTGATTGTTAATTTTTATTTACATATTTTTTAATTATTTTATCTATAATTGATGTGGGACTTAAATTTTTATAATAAATAATTTATTGTTAATAATAAATTGTGATGTAATATAAATATATTTTTAGTAATTAATATATATTAGTCATTAATATTTTTATTAGATAATAAAA